ACGTATGATAGTTTTTTCACAGATGTCTCACGAGAACGGGAACTATGCGTCAATGCCCCAGGACTCTCTAACTCTTAACCACTGAACTTATTCTAGAGAGATTCGGTACAACAATAGTCGATAGAATAGTTTTTATTACTCAAACCTTACGTGATCGGGCACTGTACTGGTAAGATCCCTGCGGGATTATTTATTTATTGAAACTACGATAAATCATTTCTAAATAGGTAAATCTTACTTGGGCACTGAATTGATTCTGGTTAATTCTGTCAGAAGTCATTAATCTACGCGGACGAAGTCGCGGGCAACAGCTAGTATATATATATATATCAACCCCTGAGAGCCTCCTCTTTTTGAAGTCGGTTAAAACCAAGTGTTTATTAAAAACATGTACATAATAAATCTAAATATATGCATGTAGGTAAATATATACTTAATTTTGTATCTATGTATAAAATAAATAAACTTCACATTGTATTTCTTATGCAAATGATGGGCGATAATGTTGAAACTGTAGACTATGAGAGCTACATACTTCCGTTTACGTTATATAAGCCGACGGAAGTCGACACTGCCAACATTACTTGCGCGTGCGCATTGTCTGTTGGCTTGACGCGACGCATTGTAATTAATTTGTGCTGGTATCAACCTTATAGTAATTTAAAAACGATGTGTTTATTTATGAAGAATAGCTGAGATTACTCTAATTTTTTTATTATTTATGTACATATTACATATATTTTATGTGTAACAAAGGGTTGTTTATGTTTGGGAGATAATAAAAACTGCCTTTCATGAAAGTGCAACTGATAAGTGTAATGCGCGTGATTCGGTCATCATGCAGTTTTAATTAATCCTTCGTGTTTTATTAATTGTTTACCTACTGTAATTTAAAAATATCTTTAATCTTTCAATTGAAAATAATAGGTACTTACTTTTTAAATTACTTGTAAAAGTAGATTCCCGTAAATTGTAATTAAAAATTGCTCAGGTTTCTTATATTGTAGGTCAGGTTGCCACACAATATTGACATTTAACCAAATCTGGTTTAGTTTCATATTCCAATGCAATTGGGAAAGAATCATTGTTTTACAGTTACGACAACATTACTTTTTTATTTTCTAGAAAGCTTATAAAACAATTGCGTAAAGATATTCTGATATCAAAGTGCATCAAGCTAGTTATTATTTTGGGTCTTGATTTTGCTACATAACATCATACTTGTTTATACTCGCAAGGGTAGGCAGAGGTATACATTACGGCACTTAATGCCACTGGACAATGTAGCCCCCACTTTTCATTATTCATATTATAAGTCCCATGTTATAGGGGGGTGAGCCTATTGCCATGTACCGGGCACCATTGCCGACTCCGTGTTACTACTGAAATATTTTTTTTAACTTTGTATTTATCAGCAGGCAATTTTTTTTAAGGGGGGTAAATCATCGAATGACTGCTCCCGCCTGCGTGAGGCGGGAGGGAGTGGCAGACTCTTACTGACTAAAAACCATCCCGTTCCTTCTCCTGGACGTTAAACAAAATTTGTAGCTGCTGTAAACAGCATGTCAGACCAATTTACTATTAATTAAAGGTAAATACTCATGTATTTAATACATTTCCGTGAAATACATATTCAAATGTATTAAAAAAGGTTTTACTGTGCACGAGTCGACCACATTACAAACAGAGCGCAGGTCATTAACTTACTACATATGTCTTAAGTTTGAATTGAGTAACATATTTTTTTGTTTTCATACATCTTAAAATTATCATCGTCGTCACACTTATGTTTTTTGACCTATCGAGCACTTAATTAAAAAAATATAATTAAAAGCAAAGTTTTGTTTGAGATAACCTGGTTGTATTTTGTTTATATTTGTTACTTTCGATATCCGCAAGATGGCTGTCGGTGGTTGGATGCAAAGAGCTGAAGATAGAATTTAGTAACATGTTATTGAAGAGGTTTACTGCCATGTCCAGAGACATTTTAATGATTATTTAAACTATTCCTTATTAACGATTTTGTTAAGAAAACAGTTGCTGTGAACTTCGTCAAGTGGTATGCCGGAATGTAACTCTACGCGAGACCCAATGTATTTTCTTTTGTGTCCTATATACCGACAGTACAGAGGTTAAATGACTTGAGTACGACGGTTATGTACACTAGTATATGGAAATATGGTAAAAACTGGGTGATTCATACTACCTCTATACATAAATGTAGGTATAAATAGTTCGTCAGCCTTGCACCTGAAAATGCGAAAATCATGGTATCATTCATCTTCAAGGTTTCTGATGATCTCACGCGAGTCATTCATTTACAGAATGATTTCATTTCAGCTGCCATAATAGTTTCTATAATAAGAACACTGAGCATATTACTGAATTACAGTTGAAGCTGTAAACAGTGTGATTCATCTTGTTTACTTTTCCTTTGAAATTTTAGTACAATGTACTTATACACTCACATCTTATATTATGACAGCAATTGAAGTAGGCAAGTACTTAATATTTGTATTAATAACCAAGCAATATTTAAAAAAATGTGTAAGTTTTAATTGTTCCCCGTTTCGTTCAATTACATGTCAGTTTTTTTTCAGGTTAAGATTAAGAAGATAGACTTGAAGTATTACGAGATAAAATTAAAGTAATGCAATATTTAACATACTTTTCCTTCCTGCTGCATGCTGTGGGACATTCTGTATATTAAGTATCCCATTCTGTATATTGAGTGTCCCATTGTGTATATTGAATGTCCCATTCCGTATATTGAGCGTCCCGTTTCATTTATCGACTGTCTAAAAATACTAGTCCCTTACCCAGAAACGCTCTCTTTGAATCGCATAATGCATGTTTAAACCACTTCAATATTCTTTTTGTCAAAAATAACACTAAATCTAGGTTACCGTGCCGATGCCGTGAGATATTCTTACATAATTTAAAAAAGTAGAACAACATTGCTTATATAATTGTATTATACGCTGGTACGGCTCTGTCTACTGCCTATTTGGGTTTTTGTACCTTATATTATATAAATATAATATTCACAACACGATATATCTTATAGTTATGTCTTTATAGCCTTAGTACAAATATACCTACAAATACAAAACTTCTTGTATCAAGTAGAATTTAATTACGGCATCATATTTCCATATTAGATAAAGCATACATGCAGTTATTGAAATTTCTTTCATTCATTATAGATGAAATTACTAGCCTAATATGCGATATAAACTAATCATTTGATTAAATTCAACGGGTATTTACCCGTTTAAGTTATTTACATTCGTTTATGAACTACTAGCTTTTACCCGCGGCTTCGCTCGCGTCACAAAAGGATAAAAAGTAGCCTATGTGACATACACCAATACACACAGCGCCATCTATACCAATACTTTTGTTTTCCCTCGGGAATATTAATTTTTTCCGGGATAAAAAGTGCCCTATTATTTAATCCAGACTTCTAACTTAACGTCTGCAAAAATTCAAAGCAATCGGTTTAGTAGTTACGGCGTGAAAGCGGAACAAACAAACAAACTCACTTTCCAATTTATAATATTAGTAAGGATTGAACTTCCGAACAACCGGTCCTTATATATGTAGGTATTACAATATTATAATGATATTACTGTTCTTCTTTCCTTTCCGATATCATTATGTCATTTATAAACCGGTATGCCTCTACTTCACGTATTGCGTGTCTAAACTTGACTAGTAGGTCAGTATTAAGGATAGATTTCAATAGTTTAAGTACTTCATAACTATGTCAAGGGATAGGCTAAGTTTGTAATATATGATATAGCTATTACTTAGCTTGCCATGGTACAGGCAGATTAGGATACTCCTGTGACCACCCCTACTGTTCCCATGGGTTCGTAAGGGTCGACTGATGTCAGCTGAAATTATTTTTTTTTTTTAATTTTTGGATCGTGATCATAATCCATAGATTTTGGATTGAGACCAGCCATTGATTTCAATCGTAAGGTAGTAAAAATGAATAGAGATTAGGCAGCACCACTCCCTGAAGAACTTCAATCTTTTGAACTGTGATCTCCTTTTTTATGGAATAGGAGGCAAACGAGCAGATGGATCACCTGATGGTAAGGAGGAAGAGGATGCTCTTTTCTTTAATGTTTGAAGGTCGTATTGGTTCGGAAATACCTCACACAACAGATCATTCTCCTGGAGATTTAGTGCAAACTCTTTTCATTTAGTCCAGTGCAGTAGACTGGGACTGCATCGATGATAATGATGATAATATTAATAGCTACTGTCTGTAGTTTTTAATCCTATTGGGATGAAGGTCAGTAAATAAGTTATAAAGGATATTAACTTAAGTGTTACTTGTTGCGTGTAATTGTATTGTATATCGAAACTTAATTATAATTTATAATCGATTAAACTAATACATAAACGGTACAGTCGTAAATAATTTTGAAAGCTTTTAATTGTGATATTGAATTATTAGAAGACTTTTAATCAATCAAGTGATACTATAAGCATTTAGTATTTTGTGTTCTTAGTGATAAGACGTGAGGGTCGCAAAATTTTATCAAATTACTTTGCTCATTATTAATGCTACACAACTTACTTACTTACTTAAAGTTTTAACTCGTCGAGTACCGTCATTATAGACACAATTATAGAACAATAGGTTGCGGTCACTTCCTAAAACTAGGAAACCTATGAAGTACAGTCATATATTTAGGGCCGACAGTTTTAAGTATGGAATAATTGTCAAATATTTAAAATTATTACTCAGTAACATTTTATCTGGCGTTTGAAATATCGGCCCTAATACTCATATAAAAATATTGAAAATATTTACGAAGAAATATATCTATATCTATAAAAATATTATTATGAAGTTAAGAATGCTGCATAAACAACTCAATAAATTATACTTCGGGACATTAGTGTTCCCATTCAACCCTACATAAAAAACTTCGACGAATCCCAATTTCAGGTAGGTACCAAAAATACACAAAGAGACTTACCAATTCGTAGCTTGTTGGCAATAAACACGTTGACGTTGCAAGTTATATTACTGAACTCCAGTTCCACAGTAGGTCGCGGCAATAAGGGCACAACATTATTATTGCCCCCCAAAATACTCAAATCTTCTGGACTAGGCGTCATCTTAAACTCAGCACTCACTAAACGCGGTTTCACTTTCTCCCAAACACGGATATTGTTGTCACTTTCTAAATATTCTGTCTCGCTCACACTTTGTAACTTATAGGAATTATAGGGACACTTTTGTCTTCGTCGTTACTTGTTGAAGTTCGGAATGCAAGTGATCCATTGGCTCGTATCTGAGAACAAGATATAGTACAGTGTTAAATACAGTCACAATGTATGTTGAATTAAAAATTGTTTGTTTACTTGTTATATTGTTATGTTTGTTTATGATTGACAGCTATCACAGTGACACGGGAATTGTTAAACTATTGTTTTGTGAGGTCCGTCTTCTCACATGTTGATATTTTGTGTAGGTCATTTCGATAGCATTTTTAAATATTGACAGGATAATAGCGTCATTGTTGAGCAACAGAAATTCCAACTTTTTACTAAAATTCTTTGTTTGCTAATGTGACGTTAATAACAGTAAGTTAATTTTAAAATCGGCTTATTTACTTACGCACGTATTGTATTTTTGTACTGAATGTAATTTAGCATGTGTCAATCATACTTGAATAATAATTAGTAGGTTTGTCCTATAAGACTTTTTTTCTAATTTATGACAAGAAAAATAGACGTATTCATTCTATTTTGTTAGAAAAATTTACATAAATTATGTAATAATATATCTGTAAGTATAATTTGATATTTTTTTTGTTTCAGTAAATTTAATAATAATTTTAACTTAAACTGTCAAACACCAAGCGGTCACCGGTGACCGCAACCTATTGATCTATTCCGCCGGGTCTGTTGTCAGGATGGGGGTTCCGCAGGGGTCAATTCTCGGCCCTTTTTTGTTTCTTATATATATAAATGACTTACCTTATCTCGTACGGGATAACCACGGGATAGTACTGTTTGCGGATGATACTTCGTTATTATTTAAACTTAAACGTAGACAATTAGTCATTGATAATGTGAACAATGCTCTCTCGGAAATAGTACGCTGGTTTAGTGCCAACAACCTATTACTAAATGGAACTAAAACTAAATGCATTAAATTTACAACACCAAATGTTGGACATGTTAAAACCAGCGTGCTCATTAAGGGTGAGGAGTTGAGCCCTGTAGATTCTGCTGTCTTTTTAGGTATAACCCTAGACGCTAAGCTCCAGTGGGCTCCACATATAGATAAGTTATCGAAAAGGCTCAGTTCTGCAGCATATGCCGTTAAAAAAATTAGAAAGTTAACCGATGTAGATACAGCGCGATTAGTATACTTTAGTTATTTTCATAGTGTCATGTCATATGGTATTCTCCTATGGGGGAATGCTGCTGACATTCAATCTATCTTTGTTCTGCAGAAGAGGGCCATTCGATCAATTTATAATCTTAGTCCGAGGTACTCTCTCAGGGAACTATTTAAAGAAATTAATATAATGACCGTTGCCTCTCAATACATTTATGAAAATGTAGTATATGCTCATAAAAACAAAAATTTATTTAAAAAGCATAGTGATATACATAATATCAACACGAGAAATAAAGACAAATATGTTGTTCCCACTACTAGACTAAAGAAAATAAGTGGTTCGTTTAGATGTCAGAGTATACGCTTTTACAATAAAATTCCCAGCCATATCCAAAATCTGAGTCTAAATAAATTTAAAAATGCCATTAAAGATAAATTTTATAGTAAAGCTTTTTATAAAATTAAAGACTACCTAGATGATAGTCTGGCTTGGGAATAAGCTGCTGTAACGTCCACACGGGTCATGTTGACATGTTTGTAACATATAGTTACATTTCTTGACATTGTTTTTCATACATTGTTCTAACTTGACATTTGCTTTTTCCTTTACAATTGTTAGTGCTAGGACCGTGCGAGACTTTGCCTCACCATTTCTTTTCTAATTACCCATATTCTGACAGTTTGAGTATTTGTGCGACCCACGCAAATGTTCTTTAGGTTGGTATTGTTCGTCGAATCAGTCAGCCTCACCTGTTAATTGAGCCGACTGTAAACCGACACATGCGTACTGCCTTCAGAACGGGTCCGCTCAAACTGTTGTGGTTCTTTCCTCAAAAGGCCACTACAGAAAGAACTTGCACGGTTCTCACACATAATCTTTTATACATATTGTCTGGACTTTAAAAGAGACAGACCTCTGAGTTTGTTTCGGCATTTCTTCTCAGAGTAGTCAGTTAGGAAATGTCGACCTCATCGTTCGCTTGATAAAAATGACGTGTAAAAGTGCTGCCTTGTAGCCTATTTGCAGAAATAAATTCACTTGTTTCACTTGTTTCACTTGTTTCACTTGTATAATTGTGTCTACAAAACCGGTACTCGACGAGTTAATAAATACTACTATTATTTTAACTTGACAATACAAGGAAAATAATATGAAGTTATTTATAGTTATAGTAATAAAACCAATACGACACCAATTACTTGTTTGTCAGTTAACTAGATTTATACCAGCAATAACTGTATTGTCATAAAAATAATAAATTATATTGGTTAGTAGGGGCCTAGTGGACCTAGCTATGTGTGTTTTTATGTAAAACTTTAAGTGTTTATTTGTCTTGGACACGTAGAAGTCTTAATCAAAGTATCTGCTGTGTGCTGTGAGCTAAATATCTGTTGGCGACTGACTAGGGGAGTCAGTCGTCCGCTATATGGGCGGGAGTAGGCGTTAGCGTTGTGTTCCACGCGCGCCACTCGAGGAAAGAAATCAGTCTACAAGGGCTGCTTCGTGGTGAGACCTGACGCAATATAGTGGTAGGTCGAGGCCTGTCGGCTGCGGTGATTCCAGTAAGAGTTCGGCACACCCCCCGTCGTCTCTACGACGTGGGAAGTCCATGAGGATTACCACCGCGATATAAAAAAAATGGGCTAAATATATTTAACTCGTCGAGTACCGTCATTGTAGACACAATTATAGAACAATAGGTTGCGGTCACCGGTGACCGCTTGGTGTTTGACAGTTTAAAAAAGGTTAGGCTAAATACAAGTAGTACCTATTACGAGTATTTCTTGGAATGCTAAGTTTGGTTTCGTTTTCAAGATGAAAAAACAGAGTACATACTATGTAAGTATCTACTGTAAGTAATTATGTACAATGTTACAGGATGTATTTTATACATTGTTTGTAATATACCTTTTAAACTATGTTTTAATGGACCACCTACTATTGTTATTTTTAAATAGCATAATTAAACGTAACAATAATATTGTAAAGGTAATTTTATCGTGGGAAAATAAGGAAACATTAAATGCTGAAAAAAAGGACGAACAATAATCCGATAAATTAAGCATTTCCTGCTGAATTGACTACTAGCAGTAACCCGAGTGTTCAGTAATAACGTAGGTATGTACTTAATTATTTTCGATATAAAAAAGTAATATTACCCAGCAACTTAAGCACAATAACATACCGCGACTCGGCTTAGAGGAGTTGAAACAGGGTAGCTTTAAACTTTAAACAGTTAGAGTGTGATTCTCCTTCCTGCGTCCCGAATGATGCAGGATGAGTATTTAATGGTCGATTGATGATTTCGGGATGAGGCATTTGATGATATTTCCTAAAAAACTCTTAACTTGTCGAGTACCATCATCAACATATCATATAATTGTGTCTATAATGAAATCGTCGAGTTCATTATAGACACAATTATAGACAGTTAAAACTGTTTAAACTGTCAAACACCAAGCGGTCACCGGTGACCGCAACCTATTGTTCTATAATTGTGTCTGTAATGACGGTACTCGACGAGTTAATCATCAAAGCGGTAGGAGCAACTATCATGTAACACTCATTTCTTATTTGACACTATACAAGATGGTCCAATTAGTGACGTCAACAATTTGTTTTTAGATTTTTTTAATTTGTTGGCCTCATTATTTGGACCAACCTATATAAACAATAATACAATGGTGGACTTAATGCAGAATAGTGGTGCAGAGAAATGAAAAAGTACTTTTAACTTTATTAAAAGTATAGCATTATCAATAACAGTAATAGCTTCCGGCCTTCATAAGAGTGGAATATTTTATGAAGCTTATCAAATAATTTGTTTACACTTCTTCATATTATTATGTTGGCCTTGATACAGGACGAAGTGTTCTAGGTTATTTGACAACAAATGATACCAATGTACTCAGTATCATTGTTACACTTCCGTAATTATATTGAACTTTAAAGTTGAAGACAAAAAACATAATGTTTTTGTTGTTGGCGTATTATTTTGCGTAGATAATGAAATTCAAAGAGAATACAATTTTTGACTAAATATAGTTTGCTGATCACCTCAAGTTTTTCAAAAGATTCTGAAACTATTGACCGATTTGAAACATATACTATCCATAGTGCGTACCTAATGTACCTATAAGCTAATTCATATAAGCTTACTTTTCAGGTAATCACCCAGGCTATTTTTACAGACGCTATGCCTATAAAACGAGTCTTTTACATTCCACACGGGCAAGGCCGCAGACGGAAAGCCGGAAGCCTAGGTACACTTTTTTAAATTTCAATTTATTCTTGAAAATAAAAAGATAATTAATTATGTAATACACGACTGCACCAAAATTTGTCAAGAAAATAAAATAAAAGTATTCGTTTAACTTGTTTTAAAGATAAAACTTATAGTTTTGTTTTACTATTTAAGTCAGCTCCTGAATTTTAATTTGTTGATTAAGGAATTCAGTAATAAAATGTATTGTGTATTATGTATTGTGAGTAAGACTGTACTCAACTGGACGTATGAGCCCCGGTTATGACATGAAATTATTCGAGCTTTCTCGAACAATAAACAAAAACAATAAGGGCAAAGTATACTCATTATACCTTTGTTATATCATTCAAAATGTAATTAAAATTAGATAAAATATAAAGTTTATAAATAAACGTATAAGGTCAGGGAACCAACGACATCATAGCTAAAATATGTAGATTACATGTACTGAGAAGAATCCAGAAAATTCTTTAACTGATAGTGTTACAGTATATTACAAATAATAGGTATAAACAATGAATATCTCAATAATAACAAACACGATGAGTAATCCGGGTTTGAAACATTAATTCTAGTATTATTTATCCTATATTCTGCAAGCGGTTTCGCCTGCGATCCCGGCGGTAAAATGTAGCCTATACCTATGTCACTCCAGATCATAATCCACTTCCGCGCG